AAATGGTTGTATTTTCTTATGTAATACGTAATATTTAGATGGTTTAGATCTAAAAATCAAAATTTTGACGTTAAGTATGTAAATAAATTAGAATTGGGTGGTACTTATTTAAATGCCCCAAAAATTTAATATTTTGTGCTATTTTTATTATTGGCGACTACACTATAAATAATTATTTAATAAATTTTACCATACTAAATTTCACTAGACCGGACGGTGCCAAATTGCCGGGGTCATCCTAGGAGTGCAATTAATGTGAAATGACCATCATCTTCTTCCATTCTGCCATTAATACAAAAAGAATATGCATCACATCAACTGTTAATCACAAACTCAACTGTGTTTTCAGCCTTAAGAAAAAAAAAAAAAAACATTCTCCCCACGTAATTTAACCATCCAATCTTTCTCATCTTTCTCCGATCAATCAAAAACCATTAAATCATCCATACATCATTCCAAAAAACTCACCTTTAAATCAAAATCCAGCAACAAAATCCAACCCAAAAAGAAAAAAAAAAAAAAAAAAAAAAAAGGCCATCTTCAACCTCTCCTCCACAATATCAACCACAGAATCACCAAAGGCAAAAGATATCATCTTTAATGTTGATAGATACTCTGCCTCTCACGAGAGAGACACCAATGGACACCATGGCTTCTTTGGTCCCCAATTCATTCATGAATACAGTATAAATTGTAGGAGAGATATAATGGACGGGAGGAATGTAGATAAAGAGCGCTTGTTTATCAACTTGCTCGTTAAGGATAGTGAGAGCGCCAAAAGAGAACAAAATTGGGAGCAGATGAAAACAAGCAGCTAGCTTTTTCATTGTTCCCCTCTCCTTCACTTCCCATGTGGCCAATTTCGCTGCCAACTTTCGCCCTGCTTCATATGTTTTGAATCTTTCTGAAGACAAGGAGCAGGGCCTTCGTTTTCATGTTCTCTTACTCTGTTTTCTTGTGCAGGACTCGAGGTATCATCATAAATGCTGATGGCTGCATGCGTAAATGGCATCCTTTTTTTCTTCTTTTTTCGCTTCATTATTGTTTGGAGTCATGATAGCGGTTTAAAGGTGTTTCATGAATCAAATTTTTAGGGGAGAAAAAAAGAAAAATAGAAATGATATGTTTCTCGTGGTTGGCAAATGTGCATTGTTGTATGCAATACGTGCCTCTTGTTGTAGAAACGTCGCATTTCTTCTATTACTTCTATGGGATCATTATGGGACGTTTATATATTACTTCTGCGCATAGTGGTTTGATTTAAATATTCAAATTTGAAGAAGAGTGAGTAATTTATCAATTGATTTTTTCTTTCTAAAATTCTATCTTTTAGGATTTATTAGCGTTAGAATGCTGAGGGTAGTTGATTGGCATGTTCATCATTATGTTTTATTACTAATTATTAGCCTCCAAATTAAAAAGAAACTCAAGTCATGCTTGCTTAAAATTTAATTTGAATGCTTGCTAGTTGATCCTAATGTATGATTATAAGGATGTGGTACAATCAATTCAAAATATGATCGTAATCTTTAGTTGATTAAAAATAGGTGTTTCTTTAATAAAATTAGAAAATTAATCATCAATATGATGTTAATCATATGATTTGTTTAATTTTTGAATTAATTAACTAATTCAAATTGATCTTGTTGATTTATTTCATTATGGTTCAAGAATTAGTATTAGCTATTAGTTATATATTTAATTAGGAAATTAAGGAATTTGAACTAATTTAGATTGAGTCAAACCTAATCACATAGTATGATTAATTTTGATTATCAAATTTAGCTTACAATTGACTTGGTTAAATTTAAATCTTAGTTATGAGTGAACACAAGTCATTTTAATATGTGCCCAACACTTGAAACTATAATAATTTTTGGCTCAGAATAAAGAAAATAATGACAATTAAGTTCTCTTACACTGATCCGGCCACCGACTTAATTTTCTTCAATATGTCAGTCTCTTGACTTTATTTTTAATTTTAAGCTTAACCTGAAATGATTTTAGCCAAATTTTATATTAAAATTAAATAAATTGTTAGTAAGTATTGAATTAGATTTGGAAATATCAATATCTTAATTATATGTTTAAGGTTGAAGTGCATGGCACAGTCTTATCTCAAAATTTAATGTACAAATATAATTAAATTAGGTTTGTAGAATATAAGAAGTAAAAATTAGTTTGAAAAGAACACAATTCCCTAAACCTTAACTCTGTAGGATCCCACTATTTTAACTCTACTATCATAAAATTATCTTTTTTTTCTTTTTTTTAAGTGGGCAAAGCTCTTAATTAATAAGCATAAGCAATACAAAAGCTAAGATAACAACATTATAACTTGTTTATATAATTTTTCTAGAAGAAAATTATATGACCTAACTATTTGACCATAAAAAATATATAGAAACAAAAATTGAAACTGAAAATTTTTAATAGAAAAAATTATTAGATTAAATGAAAACTTAAATAATTTAAAATATGCTTGCAAATAGCATGCTTTTGCATGAGTTCAAGTTTTTATAAAGATTTTGGATGGAGTCTTAAATTTTATCCCTACATAAAATGCTTCTTTAAATATAATTTGAGAAAGAATAAGTCTAAATATAATTTTATAAGCTTTGATTTCATAACTAAATCATAAAATATATCATATTCATATCCACATAAAAATCTCCTTTAAATTCTCTTCATACGACTATAAAATGGCTAGTGACTGATTAGTAAAGCCTCTTCATATTAATATCTAGTAATGAGACAATTATATGTGTATATATGTATGTATGTATGTATGTATGTATGTATCTTTTATAAAAGCATAATGCTGCATCTTGATAGTAACATTAATTACTTTTACTTTGTGTTACTTTCAGCTAACTAAAATGTCATCTTTTCAATGTAGGCTGCGGCTATTTTTTATTTGAATACGTCTAATTCAGAGGAGGGCGCAGGAGCAGATGTCAAAGGAATCTCCGTCATTGCCGCCCTAGAGCAGGAAAAAGGGAAAAAATAAACATTTTGCCGCAATATGCTTATGTATTATAAATTCATTTCGCATGTAGTCTAGATGATGGTTCATGATTTGCTAATATTTAGTTTGTATAATATGATTAGTAGATGTGAGCGATTTAGCTTTATGACGCTTTTTAATAAGAAATTCTTAAGTTATATAGGTATTTGTATATATAAATCATAATATTAATGTTCAAATTAACGTGAGATGAAGAATTAAAATACATGATTTCAACCAACAAGTGTGTTATAGATTGTTAAACATGTTTAAATTTATTGCATTCATAAGGTCACTATGGGTTGTCTAACTCAAACGACTTAAAGGCTGAATCAAAGGAAGGGATTCAAAGGCTTCTAAGCAGAGTCATATGGTCTTGAATACGAAGCTAGGGTTGATCTAGAAAGACTTTTAGACCGATTTGAGATCATTTGTATATAAGAGGCCATGAGTGATCCACCAAGGATGTTAAACTAATTTAAGGTCTTTTATATGTAAGAATTCAAGAATGATCCACTAAAGATGTTAGACTAATTGAACTCATTTGTATATAAAAGCTATGAGTGATCCACCAAGGTGTTAGATTCATTTGAGTCCATTTGTATATAAGAAGCCTTGAGTGATGCACTAAAAATATCAGACCAATTTGAGATCATATGTATATCATGAAGAAAAAAGTTTATTTCACTTCTGAAAAGTTAACATGATGATAGTTTAGATGTGATGCGAAACTAATTAAAGTGTACAAATGCAAAAAAATTAAAAGTTTAGATGTTGATATATAAATACATAAAAATTGGACGGTATGTATGTAAATGTCCATTAATTAATTTGCTAAATTTTTATTTATAGTTGTTGAGAGTTGCAATAATTTTTGTTCTTAAATAAAAAAAAAAGGGTTTCTCACATCAGATTGGTAATTAGCAGGTCATTTCTAACCGATTGATCAATGAATTAGAGATTAAAATAATCTAAAGATAACCAACCCTTATTTTTTTTGTTTCTTTCATTGTTATATATATTGACCAAATGCCTGAGATCAATGGCTAAATTACAAAATTTTACAGTCTTGAAAGCATGTTTTATATAATGAACCCCAGATTTACCCTTAAATTTTTCGTAGCTTGCAGTAAATACACATGTTACCACCCAATCATGCTTGAATCTGGTTTTTAAATCGGGGCACTTACATACATACCGCCCAGTTTCTATGTATTTACATATTCAGTATCTAAATTTTACTTTCTTACATTTATATCACCCAATCTTAGATGGCACATCCAAAAATATATCATTAGATGACTTTTAAAAGTGAATTACACAATTTCATTTAAAGGTAACATGACATATATTAAAAAATTGAAGTTTAGGTGTAATATATGCAAATACAAAGGTATTAAGTGGTATCTATGTAAATAATCCTTCAAGTTTATACCTTACCAGTAACTACTTCTATCTTGTTTATCAATTTAACATAAACTACTGCACTTGACTTTTATAAGAAATTTTTGGGATAAAAAAGCTTTGTAGTTAGTCTATTTCACAACCCAAACTATAATATTATTAAACTCGCACCTCTATCGGCACCTTCAACTTGTCCTAAACTACTGCACTTGACTTTTATAAGAAATTTTTGAAATAGAAAAAGCTTTGTAGCTAGTCTATTTCACACCCCAAACTATAATATCATTAAACTCGCACCTCCATCGACACCTTCAACTTGTCTGGCGATCTCTGCTCGACATAGTGTGTGGTGGAGATTTCCGAGGTTCGACGTTAACACAAATGTGAATTTCGTAATAATAAGATTTGGGGTGTAAAATCCACAAGTAATGTGCTACTCCGCTAAAAACCCCTATTTTATCCAATAAATAATGGCTTTAAAAGTGTGTAAGGGCAAAATGGTAATTTTTTCCATACAATTAAACCCCGTTGATTCTACGTAGTTGTCTTCTTCCCTCCAGAACTGGCTATATTATCTTTCCCACCTCCCTTCTCTTCTCCTCATTCTTCTTTCATCTTCAACCACAGAGCAAACTCTCCATCCCCACCACACCATTAACACACCAGCAAGGCGCTCACATGGAAACCACACAGCAGATATCCAACGATAGCTTCTCCCTCAGCTGGCTTAGCAACACGAAGCACTCTCTCGGCTTCCTCGAAGAGAGCCTCCGCCGCTCTTTCGACGGGCTCGACGAAAGCTCCTTTATCGACATGGACCCAAATTTCTTCTCGTTGCGGTGGACCAATTCGACCGATTTTGATTTCAGTCATCCCAACTGCGGCGACGTCGCCGCCACCCCCGCCGCCTCACTTGTGGTTCATGCTGATCAAATTTTCTTCAACGGGCATCTTCTTCCATTGCACCTTGTAAATACTTTGAAGAGCAAAGATGATTCAGTCTCAACAAACTCATCACCATCACTTAATTCCTCTGATTTCATTGCAATGAGAAGCTGCGGCAAACCTTTGTCCAGGGAAAGCACCAAGTCTCCAGTGAAGATGTTAATGAAATACTTGAATTTTCTTATTCCTTTGTATAAGAAGGTTAGGAAGATGAAGAAGAACTCTTGGAAGACGCCAAGGAGTTTCGATAATTCGACGGGAAGTCCTTCGAGGATGAGCTTCGAGCGGCGGCGAGGGAGTCGGGTTTTCGACGTGGCATCTGAGAGTCCTATTCAGGATGCAGTCCTCCATTGCAAGAAATCTATTGCTAAGTCTGATTGAAAGGGGAGTTGTGGTTCAAATTTGTGTTTTTTATTGGTCCATCCACTTGTTTCTCTGAGGATTTGAAGAAAACAGGGGTGGGATGTTAGTGAAGAAAAGGAAAATTGTAGCCGTTTTTTTTTTGTTACTTTGTGGTTTTCTTTAGGTTTGTTTTAGAGCTGCAGAAAGCAGTTGTAGGTTTTAGCTGTTAATGGGAAGGAGAAGGAGAGAAAGAGCTCTTCATGTTTGTTTAGTCATATATATAAATGGTTTAAATAATTAAGAGGAGCCTTTCACTCTTTTGATGTACTTTCTATTTGAATGGAGGTATGGATGTAAATTATAATTGTCATTATTATTACTTTTTTAGAATTTTATTTCAATGTTCAGTAAACAGTGTGATATGCTTGGGTAAATGATTAGGCCGTTATTAGTGCTTGGAAAATTTTAGCTGAGGTCATGCTTACAAATAACCCCTTTGAAATTTTTGAATTTATTCATTCACCAAAAAATGATCAGATCTCGTCCATAATATATTTACTAAGCGTGATTTCGTGTAGATGTCTTCATTTTACATTGTTTGCAAACTAACACCTAAACTTTACTTTTTTACATTAACTATACCTCCCAAATCTTTCATCTCACATAAAAAATGTCATCTTTTTAACTTCTGAAAAATAAAATAGGCCTTTTTCATGCATGGATAAGGCCGCTTGTATGTAAGAAGTTTAGTTTAGGTTTTAGATATGTAAATACATAAGAATTGAGTGATATGTATGAAAATCTTGCTATGCTTTTAACCATATTCCTTCTTGCAATATTAAATTGAAACAAGCAGGAAAAAACAAAACTGTGGTGACATTTTGCCTTGTCAAGGAAAGCAACCCTGTTTTGTTCAATTCAAAAAATGACAAGCATAGACAACAAAATCAGGTAGCAGCACAAAGGCAAGAAATCACAAAAACACAAATATGGGCACATAATTTATGTGGTTTGATGAGATCTACATATGTCCATAACTATATTATGGTCCAATAATTCATTAAGCTACAAAGGAGATACATATAAAAATTGCATTTCATATAAATAATGAGGAAAAGATGGTGTTGTTGTAGCCAAACCTTGTCTCTACTACAAAAGTACTCTAATACTAAGCTCGTTTAATTGAATAGAAACTATCTACTCCTTATTCTGGAAAAAGTAGAAGATCATTATTGATCTTATGAGCTCATGATGTGAATGAATTTAATTTGATGACAATAATTACATATTTAAATGTTATAATTGTTTATACTAAGTGATTTCATAATTAAGCAATAGCATGAAATTTATATTTATTTCATGCTATTGAAAAGCACTTATATAGTTCAAAAAGCAATGCTAATGATGAATTCTATATTTAAATATCCTTTAGTTAAATAACTATATGTTTGCAACTCCCTTGAATACAACATCTTTAATAAGATGAGATCTAATCTAAATGTGTTTGGTCTGTAAGTATTAAATTAAATACTTTATGAAGTTGGTGGCATCAATATTATCATACTGAATTAAAGTATATTCTAACTTAATTTTTTAATCTTCTAATTGTGCCTTAGTTATTATATTTAGGTAACATAACTGCCTTAAGCCATACTACTAATCTCTATAGCTGAAACGAAAAGTTTTGCTTCAAAGAGAACTAAGATACAAGTGATGGTATTACTAAATAACTTATTCGTGAGATGGGATTTAAATAAAGTCAGAAATAATATAATTAGGATCAAATTAAGCTACTAAGTTAACATTCATAGAATATTTAGGATAAGATAATCTTAAACTAGTTGTGCATATCAAATAATAAAATATACATTTGATTTCTAAAATATGAGATTTTATCAGATTGTCTTCAAAAGTGAGAAGAAGTACATATATAAAGATAATATTAGATATATTTTCTAGTAGTAATGTATAATGGTGAACTTGTTGAACTTCTATAAATTTTTCTTATCAATTAACTTGATTGATTTATCATGATCAAATTTTATAGTTTGTTTCATTAGGACATTACTAGGTTGAAGGTTTTCATCTCAAACCTTTCAACTAGTCTATCAGTGTATTAGGTTTTATAAACAAAAGTGTCATTCTCATGCTACTTTACTAAAATCCTTAAAAAAAATGAAAATTCTTTTTTATACGATTTTAATTCTTTTAACATAGTTGATGATAACCCAATATAAAGATTCAAATTTATATTTTAAAATATAAATATTTTTTATATATTTAAATAATAATTATACTATCATTTATAGTTTTATTAAAGATAGTTGCATCTACTTTTCCTTTTATAAAATCATAATTAATAAATATTTTACCCAATTGATTGTACTAAGCTTTAAGAGCTTATTTTAGATTGTATAATACTTTCTTTAACAAATATATGGTCAAGATAATTTATTTTTTCAATATTTTGGGATTCTTCCATAAGAATATCTTGGTCAATGAGATTTCTAATTTAATTTTGTATTGTTATATATGCAAAAGGTTCCTCAAAATATATACCTTCTACTTGTGAATTCATGTGTGCAACTTATTCCTAAATATCAACTTTGTTCTAATTATATTTTGATCTTAAAATCTTGAAACTAACTTCAAGTATCATTTCAAAATAACCGTCTTGCATTGCTATGATCTATATATTATTCTCAAGAGCTTCATTAATTAATTTGGGCATAATCTCAAACAAAAAAGTTGAATGATTTAAAACCTAAGAAATATTTGCTCTGATCAAGATTCTTCATTAAGACAGATCACTTACAGTTAAGTCATTAGAATGAAATAGAGAAATTTTATTCTTTTGTTAATGAGTCATTATTTTTTTTTTCTTCCAAAATGATAATTTAATTCTTTCCATATATGTTTTCTTTTATATTACATCTAGAAGGTAAACTAAATTCTGATCAAAGATTACAAATTGAATCTTCTGCTATTAATGTTTAAAAAATATATAAGCTTTTTAAAAATTTAAATAACCTATAAATGTTTCTTTATCAAATTTACCAGCCAATTTTTTGCAATGATTCTTTCAATTAAAAAAAAAATATAATACTGACTTTCAAATACATATAAATGATAAATTTAAGGTTTCTTTTCTCCAAAGATTACATAAGCTATTTTTTTAAGGATTGGACTTATTAATTCTATTGATTAATTAATATGCAATATTTAATATTTCTAATTAAAATATATTGTTATCATATATTCATCAAGCAATGACCAAACAAATACCATCAATATTCATTTTTTTTCCTACAACTCCATTTTATTGAATAATACTTGGTGTTAAAGTTTATTTGATTCTAATTTTATTTTGATATTCTTAAACAAATTTATTTTAAATTTTCCATCATAGTTTGCTAAATCTTAAAAAGTAAATAACATTATCCTCTTTGAATATGTTATATATATATTTTTGATTCCCCAAATGCATCATGCTTATTTGTTAACAAATCAAGTTTATCTTGAATAATAATAAATAATCACAAATCTATATATTTTTTTTCTTTCTAAAATAATGATGTCAATAGATTCAAATTAATCTATAAGGAGAAAATCTAGAATTTTATATTTTATTCAGAATATTCTTACTCTTAACTAAAACTCTATTTTTTTTACCATGCATGCGAGAATATCATGATCAAAATAAGTCATGTAATTATGACATTTAATTTTAAAATCTTTTTTGTAATGTGTGTATGTATTTAAAATGTGTGTTATATTTTTATACATTTTTTTTTGCATTTTACTCTACTATTTGTACCCCATTTTTATTTTTTTCAAGTGTTTTTATGTGCAATTGCAAGTTACAGGTACTAATGAGAGCTTAACATAATATATGAATTATTATTTTTATAGGATAAGGCTCTTATTATAGATCCATAGTGTTGAGGTCCAACGAAACTAAGAGGTGATGGAGATCAAGTTTGGGATAAGGAAAAAGGATTAACTTCCATGAGCTCCATGAGCTCCATGTGCTTATAAAATTTATCATATAAGTCATATTTGACTTAAGGTAAAACTAACTATGATGGTTTTAGGTTAAATTTTGAGTTAGTTAACATAGTTTCTGATTAATTTATTGATATAACTATAATTATTGATTTCATTAGATTTGGACTTATCCTTTTTGTATTTGACTTAACCAACTAACTTTTACATTAGTCAAATAGAACCTTAGGTTAGATTTAATCATCACCATTGGTTTAAGTGAACTCATTTAGATCTAATTAAAAAAAAAAAGAAGAATCCAAGTGTTAGATTTTTAAAATTTAATTGGAACTTAGATTGGGTTTGGGCTAGACATAGGGTTGAGTTTTGTTAACTTTATATTCACTAAGTGAGTAATAAGGGTGCCTTCAAAGCTGAACACTCAAATTTGATGCTCTTATTAGATATGAATTGAATATAAATTTGAAATTTAATTTCTAGCCAAGGTTCTTCCTATATATAAATTAGAACTACATTTAATTGCATTGATCAAACTCTAAACCATAACATGTTAAAAAGAGTTGATAATGTATGAGTTGTACTAAAAATAATGCTATTTTTTTCATTGAAATATTCAAACCTTAAATTATTTAAGATAAGATAAACTAAAACTCTAGTGAGAGGTCAAAATAATTCCCTTTTTGAATCCAAAAGGCTTTATAAATATTAATATAGAAAAAAGCATTCCAATCCCAAAATTTTCATTCAGGATAAAGTTAAACTATTCTATGAGACAAGGTTAAGGGTTTGTCTGGGATCACTTTTTGTTTTTTATTTTTGTTTTTTGGTTTTAGTTTTTTTTTTGTTTTTTTTTTTGTTTTTGTTTTATTTTCTATTTTATGTTATTAAAAAATGTGTTTGGTACTATTATAATTTATATTTTTTAAGAAAATAAAAAATATAAACCATGTTTGATTGAGTATTTTCTATTCTTAAGAAAAAAATTATACTTTTTTTAATAAAATGATTGGGTTCATGTGCGTTCTAGTATTAAGTTATGTCGCCCATGATGTATACGACATCTTTCTTGTTCTACCCAGCACAAAACATTACATGTGGGCGGGCAGGCTACAAAAAAGGCGGACGGCCGCAGCAGGCGGCCAAGCCTCGCACAAGTAATGCCCGAAAAACATACTTGTAAAAGAGCAAAAACACAATTTTCATGTTTTTGATGTTTTGACAATAAAATTTAAAAAAATAAAAAATGAATAAACAAACACTACTTTTAGATTTGTTTTTTATTTTTTGTTTTCAAAAAAAAAAAAAAAAAAAAAAAAAAAGAAAAGAAAACAGAAAGTGATCC